AAAAAAAAAGAAAGAATTCTTCGTTTTTTTTGGACAAGATCTGATATCTCATGTCTATTAGTTTCTCGTGCTGTATAAATAGCATAGAATAAGATGTAAGGTATTTTATTGTGAATCTGCTTATCATCTGCATGATAGTTACATGACATAAAACTGTCACTTTGACTGTTTCATTAAAGTTAGTAAAGGACAAAAAAGAATTGGAGTAACTTGTTTGATGATTATATTGAGAATAATAATGAAGAGAAATAAGAGGAAAACAAATTCTTTCCTTCGGGAGTTTTTTTTAGCTTTTTCAGCTCCTACACATATCATTTTTCTCGTTTTTTTTTCATCTTCTTTGAATATATAACTTCATCGCATCATACCCATAAACAAATGATGGTATATAAATAAATGTTCAATATAACAGATGGTTTAACAATATGAGTGCAGTTGCATAGAAGCACGTAATGACAAAATAAGAAAAAGTCTGTTCAGGGTTTTTTCTTTTGCTTTTGTTTTTCATGCTATTGAGATGTCATTTTGACAACTGAGCAGTGAATGAGCCGTATTATGATTACAAGTGTTCAATAGAGTATATTTTCGTCTTAATATATCGCCTTTGTTTTGAACAATATACATAACATCGAAGAAATCGAAGAGAGAGAACACAAAGAATTTTAAGTGCAATCAGTGATGACAATATATATATTTTTTTCTCTCTTCCACTATTAATTTCTATGACTGAAAGAATGTCTTTTTGACTTTCAGTTACCTTTTTTCTATATCATGTAATTACTTTCTGTTTTTACTGTTGCTACATAATCTTCTAAACTTCAAAGTGAAAGTAAGCATTTTGGTGTAAGAAGATAAAATCAGAGAGAAACCATGTTTTATAGAGAAAAAAAAGAAATAGAGTTTCAGTTACATTCTATCCTTTCTTACTAAGTAGGAGGTATGAGAATACATTGTTTTCATATGTATACTTATATTCCAGGAGGAAATGAGTTCTAATAGTTGAATATTCATCAAATAATCATGCTTACACCGGCTGTGAGAATCAATTATCATTGATGCAAATAATATAACCGATAGGCGATGAAGAAAAGTAATAATTTATATTTTTTCCTTCTTCTTCTTAAGTGTAAATATTATTAATTATTTTTATTTTCAGATAAGTAATATTACTATTATTATAGATATGTAAAATAATCGAAAAATGAATGAAACTAATCAAACAAATATATGTAAAGATATTGAAATTCTTTTCGATTTATCACCAACATGTTTTAGTGATATTCCACGCCGAAATTTTGCTGATTGTGATAAAGCTCTTACTATTTATCGTTTAATATTAGTTAATTGTTATATTGAAAAATTATTTTATCCAACAGCTGCAATATTAGTTATTATTGGTACTATATTGAATTTATTTTCATTATATTGTTTTCTTAAAATGAATAAACGTAATTCACAAAATGTTTATCTTTCTGTATTATCATTAACAGATACGATTAATTTACAAGTTAATTTTACAATTCCATTATTAAGAAAAATCGAAAAAATCGATGATATTTTTGAACATTCATATATATTGTGTCGAGCAGTTGGTTTTTTAACAGAATTTTTTTTAATCTTCCCAACATGGATCGTTGTTTTATTAACTCTAGAACGTTTAATATGTATACTATTACCACTTAAATGTTATTCATTATATACACATAAACGTGCAAAAATTTCCATATTTATATTAGCATTAACTGTTATATGTTTATGTCTTTATCGTTTTTTT